TCCAGAACTGAAGTGACTGCATTTTACAATGAACATATGTATGGGAAGCCAGGCATTATACATACTAAGACCCACATCCAAGGCACAATGTCAAAATATCACAGGGAGAGCAGTTCTTAGTATATTAGATAAAATTTAAAACCACATTCAAGGACCAAATGACACTACAAACATCAACAGAGCGTTAAAACGCAACAAAATAATGTCTTTAAAAGTCTGAAGGAAAATGTTTTCATATGTGAATACTATACCCAGCCAAACTATTAATTAAATGTGAAGCTAAAAACATTTTCAAGTTGGCAAGATCTCAAAAAAGGAACGTTTCTCTGGAAGATTCCGTATTTTTTTTGTTGCCAAGCATTGCCTTACATTGGCCTTTACTTACACTATTTAGAGGCCTTGGAGGCATTTCCCTCTTCTCCATCCCCTGCTTTCTACATTAATAGGCTAAAATTCATTTGTCCATCCTGTGAGGTCTGGTTTGAAGCCAGCCACCACCTTCTCCAGGAAGGATGTTCTGTTCCTGCCAGCAGGGTGCAGCCTTTTCCTTCGTGTCTCACAGACCCCTCTACTCTGGTAAGGCACTGCCATGCTACTCTAATTAGCATGAATTACCGCCAATCTCTTCACCCTAAACCAACAGTATCGGCTTTCTGCAGACAAAGGTTGGCCAGTTTCTTCTGGCAGCTCTGTCCTTTCTGCCCCTCTACTCAGCAACTGTGACGAATACAAGTGCTTTAATATGGTAGACATTCACTGATAAGACAACAATGGACTTCAAATTTAATGTTAATCCATTGTACAAAGACTATGGCTCTGAACCTATTTCATTGACACTGCCAATCCCTTCCATGTCCAGATTTCCCTCCCACCTTAGAGTCTCCATGTTCAGGGCAGAAAGGATCATTTTGGGGGAGTAAGGAGAAAAAGAAAAAAATATTCTTTCAGTTAAAAAAAAGTGACATGACCCAGCAACTTCACTCCTGCATACACACATATGAGAAGTGAAAACATGTTCACACAAAAACCTGTACAAACATGCTCATAACAGTATGATTCATAACTAAAAGGTGGAAACTATCCAGATGTCCACCAGATAAGTGAATACACAGAATGTGATACATCCATAAACTAGAAAATTATTTAGCAATAAAAAGGGATGAAATACTGATACATGCCAGAGCATGGATGAATACTGAAAACAGTGTGTAAGTGACAATAGCCAGTCCCAAGAGCCCACCTACTGTATTTGTCCACTTACATGGAATATCCGGAAGAGACAAATCTGTAGAGGCAAAGTTAAATAGTGGTTGCCCAGGGCTAAGGGTATTGGAAAAAATGGGGAGTGACTGCTAATTTAGAACAAGGTATTTCTTTGAGGTGGGAGTAATGAAAATGTTCTGGAATTGATCATAGTGATGGTTGTACAACCCCTTGAATATATTTAAAAGTCCTGAATTATACACTTTGAGTGAGTGAATTATATCTCAAGAGTTTTTAAAAAGATCAATGTGGGAATAAATTAAGTTCACATATTACTTGTCTTTAAGGCAGAATCAAAGAGCTCCAGCTAAAAGAGGGCAAGATATGCAAAGTATGGCAAAATGGAAAAGGATCAAAATGTGCACTGGGGGTCTGAAAAGGCCAAATTAAATGAAAACTACAAAAAAACAAGGTCATGTTAGCTGATATTTATTTGCCTCAAAATTAATATAGAATCTGCTCACTGTAAAGTTTACTAGTTTAAGAGAAGCCATAACAAAGGGTAATGAAGAATACTGCATTTTACCGGAAGCACTGAGTGCCTCGTTACATAAACTTTTGTAGGTCACTTAATTCCGAAAGGTGGTGTCTCTAGTTTCACTAATTGGCAATGACCTTATCTCAAAGGTGTATTCTTAAGACAATTAGTGGATAAGGTAGTTCACATTGATAGAGGGCCAGGATCTGCAAGCACCACAGATTTATTCCAGATATTCACACAAGACCTGTTACACATGACCTGCAGGGTGAATGAAAGCACCCACTTACAAAACCTTTCTGTTTGAGAGATGCTATGATAATTACAAAATAAATCCATACAACTTTTGATTCTTTCGAAACAGATGTGTACCCTGGCCAGGTATCAGTTAGTTAGAGTGTCATCCCCATAAGCCAAGGTTGCAGGTTTTATCCCCAGTCAGGGCACATACAAGAGTCGATCAATGAATGAGTAAATAAATGGAACAAATCAAGTGAGCAAATCAATCTCTCTCTCTCTCAAATCAATAAACAAAATAGACGTGCAGTCTTTTAAACTATCTAAAATTAAATGACACACCCTGGCTGGTGTAGCTCAGTGGATTGAGCGCGGGCTGCGAACCAAAGCATGGAAGGTTCGATTCCCAGTCAGGGCACATGCCTGGGTTGCAGGCCACGACCCCCAACAACCGCACATTGATGTTTCTCTCTCTCTCTTCTCTCTCTATCTCCCTCCCTTCCCTCTCTAAAAATAAATAAAATCTTAAAAATTTTTTTAAAAGAATAAAATTAAATGACACACATATATATTTTTCAACTTTAAGTGTTCATTTTTAAATGGATCTCAGAAAAACATGATGATATAAAGGCATGGTGGAAGGGAATAGATAAAAATATTCTAATAAATGAGCTATCTACAATCCCTCTTTGCATTCTGTTTTCAAGGATACAGAAACTAATAAACCATACTTACCAAACCATGATTTTAACATAAAGTGAACTTAAATCCTAGTCTTATCTTTTTTCAGAACATTTTAAAATTCACACTTACCCAAGTGTAACTCATTTGAATACATCCAAGTTTTAAGATACTGATCTAATTTTAAAGAAAAATGGATGTAAATAAACTATGTTCACTAAACATAGGAAGTAGCCCTTCAATTATCGTTGTCTTTGTTTTCAATTCTCTTCATTTTCTTTCATCTTCTATGTTATTAGTAACTATAGACTTTTTTTTAAAACTCTATGACAAGGAATATGTACCTGGTCTGACTAAGGATCAGTATTTTCATCCACGTTGGTTCAAAAGATATCTACAAGTTCTGTGAGGCTGTGTCAATTAACTCAGGACTTGCGGCAGTCACGGACAGAAAGGTCCCAGTCAGGGAACCAGAGACTTCGAAAACCAAACTTGCAAGACCTTGAGTTGTATGATGATGTGGTATAAATCTGAGAAACGGCTTTATTTTAGTATTTGAAAATCACATGGATAAATTGGTGCAAATAAAGCACTCCTGTTTCTGAAATACAAACTATATTTTTAAACCTTTCTTTTTGCACCCTGGTAAAAAATGTAGAATGTAGAATTCAGCTTCTAAATTGCAACATTTACTAGCTACACTGCGAACTTGTGGCAATTAACTTCACTAGACATACATTATTTAATTTTCTTCATTGTTTAATTTCATCTTCATAATTTTTACTGTAGTAAGAACATTTAACCGGAGATCTACGCTTTTAATAAATTTGTAAGCGTGCAGTACAGTGCTGTTAACTCTAGGCATAGTCTGTACAGGTCTCTAGAACTTTCTCTTCTTGCATAACTGAAATTTTCTATCTATTGAACAGCAACTCGCCATTTCTTCCTTCTCCAGCCCCTGGCAACCATCACTCTACTCTCCTCTATATGAATCTGACTACTTTAGATACCTCCTATGAGTGGAATCAAACCCTGCTTATCCTTCTGTGACTGTCTCATTTCACTGAGTATGATGTCCTCCAGTTTCATCCACATTGTCACATCATGGCATTTTAAATCATTAACTTTGGTAGAACAGATGAACGGATAACACTGGGCCTCATCGTGCTTCATCAGCTCCCTGCTCCTGCTGTGTATGGGCTGTCTTGCAGTGAAGACTGTCACACCTGGAGATGACGTCCCTGCCCGCTGGGGTGAGGACACTGTTCTGATGTATGGAAACACTGCTTTTGAAGAGTCATGGCCTCCTGGCAGTGTCTCTGTAAACCTCTGAGGCAGCTGTGCTCGAGGTCATGAATATTACATAAGGGCGGCCCATGCTTTCAAACCCAAATTTCCAAGCCATGATTCCCATAGCAACACACAAAGATTTTACTCATCTCAGAGATGCAGCAGCCGGCGGAAGTAGTCTAATGTTACCCTTGATTTTTTAGCAAGACCAACACAGTACTTTTTTCAAAGCAGTAATTTTTTTCCAAAAGCAAGCCAACAATCATGTTAAAATACGTTCATTTAAAAGTTTCAGAGTATCATACACACCAGAGTAGCTTAAAATTGAACAATAATCCATGACTGAGAAATAGTGGCTATTGAAATGACTACATGGGTAACAGCATCCAAATCCTGACAATTGGTAAAACCTAATACAGTCTCAGATAAATTCTCTACTTACATATTTTATATTTGATATCCAGTCCCCCTGTGACACATTTATGCACTTCTTTTATTATGGGATGGAGAAGAAATGCCCCAAGGGAAGAAATGTGTTCAATTAATAAAATCCTTTGATGCTTTCTTTTTGAAAAGCATAATATGACCCATTTTTTAAATATAAGAAAATATTATCATAAAACACTTATGGAACAAAATTTGGGAGAAAGATTATTCAAATAAATACCAAAATAAACATTAACTTGAAGAAAGTTTGTTGTTCTAAACAGAGAAATGGTTTGCTGGAAAAATAAAGAGAAATCATTTTGATAATAGATAGAGTTTTTTCTCTTTGTATAACCAAGGGCCCTTCTGTGTGTCTAAACCATCTACCACGTCAATAAGTTACTTGATTCATAAAATAACATAAAAGTCAAAACCACTCATATATCACACTTTCTTTTTCTACCAAAGGAAGAAAATAAGCTCATTTCTTGTACCTCTTTTAAACCAGACAGTAAAATACTATAAGGACCCAAACATACGTTTTAGGAGAAACTCCCACAGGTGGTCCATCACGGACCCCGCACAACAGGCAGAGAAAGAGCTGGGCAGGGGAAAATGATTTTACCTTTGCTTTTTCCAACTGGGCCTGGGCCTGTCGCTCTGCTTCTCTGCGCACTGCCTCCCGGTCTTCCTCCAGAGACACATCTGAATCGGATGGACGGCTGGTGTAGGAGTCTGCCGAACCCTGGGAAGGAACATTTACATTTTAAAATAGGTTCCATCTATGACATTTGCATTGGAAATGTTTCACTGACACTACAGTTAGCTTCCTGGGTTTTGCTACAAGTTCCTGAAAAGAGGAGAAAATAATCCATCTCATGGCAAACCATCTAGAAAAATCATGCTCTGGTTTGTAAGCAGATCATTCACTAGGGTAGCTGTGCCTACCAAGTTACCATTCCTCCTCAAGCCTTAAGTTCCTGTTACTGTCCTTTCTGGAAGCCCGAGCAAGTTCCTTTATAATTCAACCAGCTCCGTGGTGCAGTGCAGGGCTGAAGTGCACAGATGGGTTTCAAGGGTAGCCACAAGAACAACCCACACACTAAAGCAAGTATTTACAACTAGAGAGAAGATACCACTAATAAAAAACATACACAAAAGTCAAAAGAGTTATAAACTTGAACTCTCCAAAACGTCACTACCAGGAGGAAAGCTACCACTTTAATCTTAACCATCCTTTTGTACCTTTTCATTCACCTGATACCTTCTCTGACAAAATGTAAGACAACAGCAGTCAGCTCCGCTCAATATTTAAGCAACACATTTTTACATTACCTTTAAATAGATATATAACACCTGTCTACAGAAAACACTGCCCAGGATATCTCCTTCGGCAATAAATCACAGCATAGGAAAAGGAGCTCAGAAAATTACAGGACTCTCCCTGGCTCCCTCTCTTGCCACCCGGATCATATTACTAAATAAGGGAACCCGTGCCAGCACTCACTGCAATGATAGCAAAAAGCAAAGGCAAAATAACGTCTCCCCAGACGAAAGCCCTGGAGCTTACACAGATATCAGAATTCTTCAGCCTTCCTCCCTTGGCTCTTTTCAGAAGCCTGATCCAGGTGGCCTTCATTAGCCAGACAGAGCCTTTCCCATCCGCAGCTGCAGCCCCGGGCACAGATCCTCAGTGCGCGCTGAGCCCTGCAGAACAACCTCCGCTCCTTCCCCATCCATGCTCGGGGCAAGCCCCTCTTCTCGCTCCCTTTCTGCCTCTTGGGCGTTCACTCCCTACCCCGGAGGATTCCAATCCAAGGAGATTCTTATTTTCCCATTCCAAAGGGGAAAAACAAACACTCAAATGCTTTATATTGCTTTAAAAAGAAAGAACACTTCAAGTGCATTTAAAATCAGGCACCAACTCGTTCTAAACTTAATTCATCTAACTACCCTGAAGATTCTCTTCCCTGCTCTTGGGTTGTTAAAGGAAATTAGTTGTGAGAGAACCTTTAAAAAAAAAACCTATTGCAAAACGTATGCAGTGACATTTGCAAGTGCAAAGTTCAAGCCTTATCTTCAGAGATCTGGAGGGGGAGGGCGGAGGGCGCACTCACTGCACTGGGCATGCTCCATAGGTAGCCTTTTCACGCGGATGCTCACATCACACACACCGTTAGTCTGTGTCAAATTGCCGTTTGCATTCAACGTGTAAACAGCTAGAAAGGGTTTTGGTTCTATAGTAACAGGCACAAGGTCAGTTTGTCATGTTTGTTTCAGATAAAGTGTTCTCTCAAAGACACAGCATGTAATCTTTTCATTTAATGATCCCTGTCCATTACCTGCTTACAGAAAGTCTAATATATGCCACGAGACAATTCATAGACAATAGTATCATATGCAGTATTGGACAGCAAAAATCAAATAATGCTTATCAACCATAATAGCATACTGCTCCTGAATGCTTGTGACTTCCCAGACAAGATGGGAGAGAGAAATTTTCCCATTTAATTAGGATATAAAAGTAGTCACAGCTCCAAGCAATGAGTTTAATGGATCTCAAAATGACTTTGAACTGCTTCTCCAACTGAGAAACTACTGCTTCAAATAAATTCACTGGAATATATAACAGTGCAAATTGTTATAACAATAATTATGAAGAAGATCCAAAGCTTGGCTGGTTTGTTAGCTCGAGTTAGGATTCGTGGAACCATTTAGTCCAAATTTCTCTTATAAATAAAGTGACTGAGGTTTGAGAAGGAAATATATTTACATTATTAATTTCCTGTACTAGTGGAATTACATTTTGTAACTTTGTGTATGAAGAAATAAACACTTTCAAGTTTCTTAAAGTACACATGATTCTGTCAATGCATTCTAAGCTTCATTTCTGTTTGAGTGTGGTGGAGGAATTATTTTGTAAAATCTTATGTAAATGAAAGAAAGGCATTCTTAAGAATTTTTCCCTTAGGTTTCTACCCTTCCTTTCTTCCTTCCTTCTTTCACTCTTCCAACTCTGGGCTAACCCCAGTCTTCTTGACACAAATATTAGGAAGGACAGTAGAATGGGGGTTTTAGTATAAAAGTAATAGACAAGTGCACCTTAATTATGCCATCATTACATAAATTAATAAAAAGATTACTCATATTCTTATGAAGTGAATGTAAAATGCATGGAGGATACAAAATGCATTCCAATTTTTTGTTCAAGTAAAATTCTCAAAGTTGATGAGTCTGTCAACACATGCAAGGGCATTCCTCATCTCCCCAGAAAGTTTCCTACAGCAGGTGGCACAGTGACACATTACCAAGGAGCACAATGAAGCCCCAGAAAGTGCCAGGGCCTGCAGTCCCCTTGCTGACGTTTTAGACCCAATCACCCTGCCAAGAGTTCAGGTTACACCTCAGCATAAAGAAGCCCATAATAAGAGGAAAAGTATTAACTCACACAATGTATGCAATCTTTCCTTTTAAACAAAATAAGATTATTGCCAATAATCAGACGTAACTTTAAAAAAAATTTTGTCTTCTAAAGTTTATTTTGATTGTTGTCACTATTACAGATGTCCCCCATGTTCTCCCCTTTTGCCCCTACACCCAGTGTCCCCAACCCGTGCCCGCACTACACTGTTGTCTGTGCCCCTGGGCCATACACACACGTATACGTGCTGTTTGGCTAAGAGGTAGCTTTTAATTGCATGGTCATTTTGAAACCTATTTCCAGGTTTATTTAATTCATTGTTTTTTTAACCTTCTACATTGACTTTTGGCAACGATCTTTTGAATATTTGCAAGACTACATTAACCTTTTAGAATATTAGATATGACTGTGAACTGTAGTTATAAACTGTTTAGTGGAACTTATAGAAGAAGCTGAGTTACTTCCACACTTGTACCTGTAATAGTACATACTTCCAAAATATTTTTCACTATAGAAGTTACACGTGCCCCCTGTAGAAAGGGAGAGACACAAGTAAGGTCACCTTACGTCCTCCCACCACTATTAACCACTACTAACTAGCAGCATGTCGGAGCCTCCAGAGTTCCTGCAATTTTGAAAGTCACCCTCCCAACATGAGCATTACAATTAATCTCCTTTCTTCTGGGAGTGCGAGTCTATGCAGTCTGAAGTAATATATCTAATTAAGCTTTGCCTTTGCTACCATATGGACTTTCTGGGTCCTTCTGCCTCAAGTTGTCTTTAGTCAGAAACAGCTGGCAGTCATTTCCATTAACTCCAGAACAGGTTCATTACAAGATGTACCCTTGATCTCTCCAGTTCCCACAATGTGATTAACTGGTCTTTTGTAGCATTTGTCCTTGCAGATACATCACATGTTTAGCTACCGACATTTCCTTTTCTACATCTTACTGTTCTCATTCCTCATTGTACAGTTGTAAAATACAACTAGCACCTAATGTCTACCAATAGCTCAACCAGAATTTTCTACTTTTAACCTCAGAACCCACACTCAAAATATGTTTTCTTTGCTTTTTGGAAGTTTTAGTGTAATTAGATTAATTTATGCCTTTATCTACTCTTCAATTTCTGTTTTTTCCAAATCATTTTTTTGGTCAAATTTGGCACAAAAATTATCATCCTTTTCCTTTAGCGCTTTTTTCTTTTTTGGTATTTGTGAAGTTTGCTTTGTTGATGTTGTACTCTACCGTCTAATGGTCATACATACTTTCATTTATTTATTTTGAATATTCTTGTGCTTTCTCTTTTAAAGCCAAAAGGATGAGAGTTATACATACTCAAGAGTGACTTTTTAAAAAAATTTGTTTATTTATTTTTGGAGAGGGGGAAGGGTAGGAGAAAGAGAGGGAGAAAAACATGTATGAGGGAAACGTCAATTGGTTGCTTCTCACACACTGCCTGAGGGGGTCCTGGCCCAAAACCCAGGCATGTGCCCTGACTGCGAATCAAACCTGTGACCTTTCAGTTCACAGGGTAGCACTCAATTCACTGAGCCACACCAGCCAGGGCAAGAGTGACATTTTTGATCCCAAACTATTCATATATTCCTATATGAAGTTTTCATAAGAAGTCTAAAGCAACACTCTTGGACAAAATCAATTTCTCAGAGTATTCTAAGGTTCCCAAATTCTAGACAAAATGACTTCCCACCCAAAATCCTTAGGACTTCAGATGACCTCATCATGTAGAGGGCTATGCTAAGCCAATGGCAAGTTTGACTTCAATTATTTCCCCTTGACCTGTCATGGGGCAGACAGACATCCACCGCCACTGAGGTCAGGCCCACATTTTTAAAGTAAAACAAGATGGGCTAGAAGTCAGAAAACAAGGACCTAAGGGAAAGGATCTGGCTCTTGTGTGGCTAGGGATGATAATTCCTTCATTTCTCAGGTTGGTATCTCTTTTTGGAGTTTAGGAGAACTAATGTGTTGTTGTTTTTTTTTCCTGGGATGATATCTGGATGTCTCTAAGAAACTAAATTGCTCCTCATGCTTTGTTGGTTTCTTCAGGGAAAAAAAAAACAAAACACTGTTCACTGATCATAAGTGTTCCTAACACTAAAAATTCAAATAGGATGCAAGCTAGAGATTAAGCACATTTTCATTGCTATATTATACTTTAGTTTGCCAATGTCACATAATTTCTGCTCAAATACATCCTGAAGTAAAATCTCAAATGTAATTGGTCTACCATTTGGCTTAATGACAAAGTATTAACAGAAGTAAATGTAATCAGTCTCTGTAAGTTCATTCCTGTGTGGTACT